CTCAACAGTAATCGATGCGGTGTCGACAATCGTTTCACCGCTTGGCTCACCTGCAAAATAACAACATAATTTAATTAATGAAAAGAAATAATACGTTGACATTTGTAACTTTCTTGCAATAGACGTCTATTACGTCGATTAATTAAGATATATTAAATAAAAAAATATAATAACATACATGTAAATGTAAAAAAAAATAAATGGTAGTACTTTTACCCAATTAAAAATCAATTACCTTCGCTTGTGGATTACGAATCTTATGGCCTTCATCTAGAATAACATAATGCCACTGACTGGACACAAGCAAATCTTTGTGTTTGAGGACTCCGTTGTACGAAGTAACAAGTATGCCGCCAGTTTGTAGAGATTCTATCAAACTTTCTGGATCACCTAGATAAGAACATTGTAAATGCCATATTTTGAAGAATATATATAAATTAATTTACTTACCATTGTAACCACTAGAATGATGAAGCACAACAACTCTGAAGAAAGGCCACCATTCGTGAAAATGCTTCACCCATTGCTCCATTAAAGTAGCAGGACATACAACTATAGTCGGGCCTAATCCCCTGTACCTGTCGATCGTGGGTAGAATATTTATTTTTCAAACACATTAATGCATTTATATCATAAATATAATAATGAGCGTAAATAACAAAAATAAAACAATATTGAGAAGTCTAATTTCTTTCAAGAAAAGAAAAATTCTGCAGGTAAATATAAATTCTACATCAATCAAGAAATATGAAAGAAAGATGTGTAATACCTTCCGTTGTGAGAGAGCAATTCGCTACAATCCAAACCCGCGAGGAATGCAATAACTTCCACAGTTTTTCCTAATCCCATCTCGTCACTCAAGAGGCCTCCTAATTTACGACCATGTAATTCCCAAAGCCATTGAACTGCAATCCTTTGATACCTGTGTAGTTATAGAAAATTTATAATTAAAGTTATATCACAAAAATGTGTCTAATATTAGGCCAAATATTAAAGTAATCAATGTTGAATTGACTCTGATTCAAACAACTAATCGATGTCAGAGTAATTAATAAAAAAGCCTAAATATGAAACACAAATCTACCAAAATAGCACATCTACCTATATAATTTTTCCCAAATGCATAGCGGCACTTTAAAGAGAGTATTAATTTCGTGCATTGCCTCATCTTTGGGATAGGTGTTTGTTTCCACCCTCTGCTTGAATAGTTTATTATCTCCATCATCCCGAGCTGGATAAATTTAAAAAACAATAAGATTAAAATAATGAATAATAAAGCGATAACATAGTAAAAGGAATTCATCAATTAATTGTGAACGACATATACTTCTTTTTATGCGGGTATATCCTGATTTAACTGCAGTCTTTCTTCTTTTAGATGCCTTATCCTCCACGTCTAAAAAAGATTTCTTGTCAAGTATATCTCTTTTGAGTTTATCTAAACATAACGAATATTAATATTACCAAAATCCAGTTCATCGTCACTAGGAATGTATTCGCTTTCCGAACTGCTGTCAGCAATTGCTACATTGGAGTCTGCCTTATCTATACTTTGCGGAGTATCATCTTTGCTGTTCTCATGTCTGGACTTTTGACATTTTTTATTTACTTTTGCATCAGTACTAGGTAATTTTGTTTTTTTGACTGGCGGTGAATGATCTTTGTCAGGTGTCTTAGATGGTTTCTTTAATTTTTTCTTTTGCTCGGCAAGAGCAGCTTGCTGTTTAAAGTACTTCTCAAGATCAAACGATTGAGCACCTTTATTGGTAGTCCTAGAGTAATATAAAATGTAATTAACTATTATATATTTTATTGTTTAAAAATTACTTACAAATAACTAATTAATTCATTTTTTATTTAATTAATAGAGTAAGTTACATTTAACAAAAATTAAATAATTAATTAAACTGAAATTAAATGAAATAAATATCAAAATCGACAAATTAAATTGGTAGGCTGTCATTCAATTATTAAATGTAATTGGAAATTTGAATTATCTAAACTTTCTGAGCTTTATCAATTGTTATACTCAAAATTTAACTTAAATTACCACGAATAAAATAAATTTTTATTATGTTATACCCTTCTTTTTGCTCCAAAGTCGACTGTTTAAATACTGCTTCAAACGGAGTAATCTCTCCAATCTCGACCTGTTTTTGTAACTCTGCTCTATGATCCTCTTTGCCATTAGCTTCGACATTCCCTTCGGTATTCAATTCCACATCATTCTCTTGTATTTCATCGTTTGATTTCGTAGCAGTACATCTAATGTGCTCCGATACCTTTTGCAAAATGCTGTCTTCCGTTTTGACAGACACTATCTGTGGATATTAATAGATATATTAGTTCAGAAAAGAGAAGAAAGAATGAACGAAACCGTTTCATTATTTTAATATAATAGTTATTTATTATGCATTCATATATACTATATATGTATACTGCAATGTCAGAAATGTTGGTTCAACATGTGCTCAATTAGATTAATGCAGCGCTCTAACCTAAATGACTGATTAACATTATCTAATTACCTCTGGTAGATTATTTAGAAAATTATTTAACATGTTTCCTGAGTCGTCAACAAGACAGGACGCACTACCGTCGTTATTGCTTATCTCTGCCATGCTGTGAAAAATTGGGAATCACACAACGTTCCGCGCGACGTATATATGCGTTGCAACGTAT